CCTATCAGTTTCTCCCTGTTCCTCCAAACTGCAAGGATCTACTGTTTAGAAATCACCTCCAACAGAGATGCTGAAGGAAAGCTGGGAAAGGGGGGCATTCAGCTGGKGTTCCTTGCTGCTCAACTTTCAAACTGGAAATCTCTGCAGAATTCAGCATTTCATATGTCATAGCCCAGGAAAGCTCTTGCAGCATAATTGAGCTGGCTTAATTGCATGCAGTAGTAAATGACCTTTTAAAAGGCTTTTTCCTACCACTAATTTCCATTTTTCATGGTCATTTACAACTATATTAACRATATCTTAATCTGCAGCTACTAATGAAGCTCCAAAGTAGCAGCTTTYAAGTTCCTTTGGCTGAATGATTTTTAAGCTAGATATTAATTTGCATAGGCAATTCATATAGTAAATGGATGTTAAACAGTGTCATGTGGTATTCCATGCAGYATAAAGAAGATAGTTTCTTAAATGTGTCATTTGTTAAAGGATTTCTTCTAATCCTTTTTACCTTCATGCAGCAATAATAGAGAAACAACTAACTCGAGCATACTTTTTTAGGGCAACTAAGCCCTTCCTACAAACTGTACTGTTAATTTGATGRATGTGTGCATTGGAATATAAAGGTTCTTAAAGGATTGTTCTGAAAACAAGACACACAGATATTCCTATACATTTAGGAGTGTTTAAGACAATATGGTTGCTTTAGGAAATGCTTGCTGCTTTTTTCTTTAGAAGCAGAGTATTGTTATTATCAGGAATTTGGCCATATGCCAGCAATATGAGGTTTTTGTGGCTGGAATCAGAGATCRTGTTTCAAAATGGGTATGTGTAACAGGAAGTAATCTTATGTGCTTTAACCAACATGTTTCATTTGTATTACAAATTGAAACATGCTTTAAACCTACGGACTGCTAGGTAGGGGAGTTTTCTCTCCTTTTTTTTTTTTAAGATGTCAGCTGAATGGTGTGAGGSTACAAAGTTCTTACACAGTCAGAAAAACATCAGGCAAGTATCTGACAGTYTTAACAGTGGAATTACTGAGAACTTCGATTTACATGAAAAAATTCCACATATCTATTATGTTACAATGAAAATGGAAAGTTTGTTTGTACAATCTGCAGGTCAAATATTTTTCCAATTTGTACTTCCCCAAGTTTCTATACTAAAGCTATTCACATCACACAAGCCCCTTGCTACTTTTCCTGATCCTATGGGCTGATTAGAAAATGAGACCATTGTCTAAGAACCCTTCATGTGTTGTTTGTTTTCCTATGTTTTAAAGATTGAACAAGGTCAGTATGGCATGAATAAGCAAATAGCAAAAGTAGGCAATGTATTATCACTAATGTTCGGGTATCTTAGTCTGGCTTTAAATATGCAGCAAGCGGAGGGAGATAGTCATTTGAAAATTCTGTTTATATTCGTCTTGGTTGTAAAGGAAAAATAAACTGTGTGCATATAAAGTGGATTTTCAATATTAAGTAAATAAATAAT